CCTGCCCTGCTCAGATGGGACTAGGAGCCATCCCACCTTCCACTCCTCACTGCTACCCTTCTCCTCAAAACTACAGCTTCTCTTGGTTAAGGGTAGTACCTGAACACCCCTGCTCTGTGCTAGACTCAGAGCCAGCAGCTTTGATATCTGTTATCTTCCAAACATCCTAAAAGACCAGGAAAATAATAATCACCACCCATGATCTGTAAGCCACTATTTATGGTGCATTAGTCATGTATATATCAGGTACTATGCTAAGCCCTTTGTGTTATGTAACACATCAATTAATGCTACGGGGTAAGTTCTATCCTTAAATGAGGAAACTGAGACACAGAGAGGTTAAGCAACTTGCCCAAGGACACATAGCTAGTAATTGGCACAGCCAAGACCCAAGCCTTGGCTGCCTCTCTACACTAGGCACCCATTCTAAAGGTGGGGAGACTGAGGCTCAGAAGGAGGCAGGAGGTGCACTCATCCAGAGTCTATGGCTGTGAGTGGAGAATCCAAAATTCAAACCCAGGGCTCACTGGCACCACAGCATGTAGGCCTAACTCTGCCCTGTTGCATCCTGTAGAGTCCTCTGTCAGCCACAGATGCTGGCACCTTCCATAGGCGCCCGGGCTCCCCTGAACCCTGGGGCCAGCGGGCGTCACTCTCCAACTTACAAGCTTCACGTCTAGCTCAGGCCTGTCCCTGGCTGCCAGCCCGGGCCCAGCCCTGGCACAGTACTAGGTGGGCTCTCCCCAGGACTGACCTGTCACACTGAGTCAGCTCCTCAGCCCAGGGACCCAAGGGCCACATCCCAGAATTCCCTCTGTCACCCATTTACTTTCCATGTGACCTCAGATAAGCAGCCCTCAATTCCCCAATCCCCAGACACGCCCCCGCCACTGCCCCATCCCCATAGCTGCCCTGGGTTCCGGGTTTCCCCATCTACCAGGATGCCTCCGGGACAGGCTCCTGGCTGGCTCCCCATCTGCCCCAGGTTTTTCTTGCAAGGCCGTGAGCGCCCCCTGTCGCCATCCATCTGCCTCCTCTCCTCTCCAGCTCGGCTGCATCCTAGGGTACAACTGGTCCTGGCTGGGGAGACCCAGAGCATTTGACAGACCCTCCACACCCTTTGCCCAACACCTGCTTGAACTGCAGTGACACTGAAGAACATTCTGGCTAAAATGCTCTGCATACTCACCATGAGCTCACACCACCTGCCTTAAGAGCTTTATGTGAATGAACCCGTGTAATCCTCCCAGCCACCCTGTGAGCTAGATTCATTCTTGTCCCCACTGGACAGATGGGGAAACTGAGTCACGGTGTGGGGGCCTCTTCCATTTCTGGTCAGCCATCTTTTTTCTCCTCCGAATCGTGCTGAGGTGTGACAGGAGCGGGGGCTTCGAGGCATGGGTGTCTCAATGACGTCTTTCCTGCTCTCTCAGCATGGCTCCTGGTGCTGGCTGCTTCTTCCTCTTTCACTCCCTTCAAAGCCAGTTCTACCCTAGACCTTGGGCCAGAGTAGTTGCTGCAGATGTCCAGCATCTTTTCTGGTCCTCGTGAATCCCAGGAGACCGTCCGCTTTTTTCATGGTGTTTGTCCAAGAATCACCTTCATGGTGAAAACCACCTCTCGGACACACACAGCATGTAATAGTCTATAGAGTGCTTTTCTGCTGATGATCTCTGTTGAGTTTGCCGACACCCAGCAGATGGTGGTGGTGATGGTGGTGGTTACTCCTAGGAAGACTAACCTTTATCCAGAACTCACGTGCCAGACGCGCTGTTAAGCTACTTAAATGGATTAGCTCTTCCAATCCCCATAGTAACCCTTTGCTGCTTATTTTACAAATGAGGAAACTTGCCGAGGGTCACGCAGCCATTGAGAGGTGGCAGCAAGATTCAAATTTAAGCAACATAACCCCAGGAGTAAGGGAGGTATTGTCCCTTGCACAGAGAACCTTGGAATCCAAAGGCACCAGAACCCAAGGGTCTCACGCATGCTCTGCCACTGACTTCCATGTGTGGTTGGGAAGTCTCCTGCTCTCTCTGAGCCTCAGTTTCCCCATCTATAGATCGAGAAGTTTGAGCTAGACAACTTGTAAGGCTCTTCTGAGCATTGGCAAATGTCCGGGGGACTCTAGGATTCTCCAGGACCCACCAGAGACCATTCTGTAAGGGATCCACAAGTTCACTACCCCAGGCTGTGGGGGCTCTGGGTGGTCCCTGGAGCCGGAGCCCCTGAGGTGCCAGGCTGGGACCTCTCTCTGAAAACCAGCCCAGCCACCTGGAACAGGCTGCCTGCCTCGGAGAGAGGAAAGCAGGTGGCCAGGGATGACAAGGAGGAAGGGGGATCCTGGACCGGGGTCTGCAGAAGGGTCATCAGGGCAGCACCCCATCTCCCTGCCAGGCTGTGCTCGGAGTCCGAGAATCTCAGTGGGGAGGGATCTCACACACCAACCTGTCTGACCCCCTCCTGGTGCCCAGATCTGCTCTGCGCTGGCCCACACCTCAGCTTGGAGTGTCCCTCCCTTATCCATGCCATCTCTGGACCCCTCTTCACTGGGGAGTCTCCCCCCCCGCCCCCTAGCTGAGCTAGAAACCACCCCAAGAGGCCCCTGCACCTCCTATGCCCAGAGCCCAGGCTCCAGCTTCACGCCCTCTGCACCCTGATCTTTCTCCTGGACCCGCACCAGTTTATCAGCACTCCTTGTAAAGTGTGGTGCTGGGAAACAGAACTGGCAGAGACACGCTCCCCTTCTCCTAGCCTGCTCCCCCGCCCAGCCCTTCCTCCTGTCCATGACTTCATCCCCTTTCCCACGGGTCTCTCTGAACGGTCCCAGCTCAGCCACTTGCAGACTGGCCACGAGCCCTGCCGGGCCCGCCAGCCCCGATGGAGGTGACCTTCTGACAGGCGCCACCCTGTTCCTCTGTGGCCACTGGTCATGCCGCCCCCCTCACCCCTGCTCTGCCCACAACCTGGCTCAGCCCAGCCTGCCAGGATGTGGCCTGGATGTGGCAGGTGCTGTGTCAGTGTTAACTGCTGTCCACTGGACAGAGGAAGTGCTCTGCCGCAGGCGAGAATGAGAGCCATGCAGAGCAGACAGCAATGGAGATGGTGTTGGCAATAGAGACTGACCGCAAGATGGAACCAAGCAGTACAGTTGGATTATGTCTTTAAAGCTTCATGTACTGCTAACTAGCTTCTTTGCTTTGGATTGGCTGTCCCACTGCTCGGAGCCTGGTACAGGGCAACAGAAACTGTGACCTCTGCCTTATTATTATTATTGTAAGCTGTTTTCATGTAAGCAAGGGTTGAAAATGCAACTCAGAAAAATGGAGTTGGTTCTAAGAGGCAGGATTGGGTGAATTGTTTTCCTTTTTTAAAATTTCCTTCAGCGTCTTAAGACTTTTGTCCTCCCCGTGTGTCAGTGTTGGAGAGAAAGAGCCTGAGTCTCACAAAGCTGCTCCCTTCCTGTGAACTCCAGGGGGTGGGAGTAGTCAGGGTTCTGCGTTGCCTCTGAGCAAGTTTCTCCCTGGCCCGAGTACCATGTCGGGGGTATTTCCTGCACCAGCCAGGCCATGACACCCTGACCCTTTTGGTGGCTCAGGGAACAATCGGGGCAACCCAGGGGCTGCTTGGTGTGGACATCCAAATGGAGCCCTGAGGTTTAGCGCCTCTGATGGGCTGAGGGACTAATTTATTCTCTCTCTCTCTCCTCTCCTCATGCCCTTCCAACCTAGGGGGACAGGGGTGACCCTGGGCCTGATGGTGAACATGGCGACAAAGGCCAAGAGGGACTGATGGGCGAGGATGGGGCCCCCGGCCCCCCTGGCATCACTGGCATCCGGGTGAGTGTGCACGGCTGCATGCCAACACTGTGGGCGTTTGGGTATGTGTACCACCCACGCCTGCTCGGGTAGTTGGACAGGAGGTCTTTTGATGGCAGCTACCTGAAGGTCTTCCACTGTGGTCCTTCCTCCACCTGGGAGTTTCCCAGAGAACAGTCTGCCCATGTCCCTCCCCTGCCTAACCCTCTCATGGCTCCCAGTTGCCCTCAGACTAGCATCACACTCCTCAGTCTGGCTGCCATGGCCTCCACAAGCCTGGGCCTGCTGGCCTCATCCCACATTCAGCCACACTGAATTTAGCAGGGGGTTTAGCAGGAGAGGCGCTGGCCACGATTCTCCGCTAGGAACTTGACGCTACCTTCTCTGGGTCACGCTCTTGGTAAGATGAAGGATTTGGAAGGAATGCCTTCCAACATTCCAGGGGCTCTTTCTCAGTAAGCTCTTGAGTATCATGGCCATGGAATGGGTGTCAACGTGCAGCAGAAATAGCCCTGGGCCTAGAGTCCAAAGGCTGAGTTCTGGCTTGAGAACCCACGGTCTGTGTGACCTTAGGCAGATCACTGCTGCCTCTCTGTGAGCCTTGGTTTTCTTATCTTTAAAGAGTCAATGAAACTTTGGAAAGAAAGTGCTTTCTACAACGTCCCAGAAAATAAATATTGTCTTTATGAATCTGGAGGAGGAAATGAGTGGAAGCTGGTGGTAGTGGTGATGGTGGTAGTAATGTTGATGGTTGGGTGGAGGTAGAGATGATGATGATGATGATGATATTGATGATGGTAGAGATGGTGATGATGGTGGTTGTAATGGTGATGATGGTGGAGATGGTGGTGATGACAGTGGTGATAGTGATGATGGTGATGGTGGAGGTGATGGTATTAGTGAT